TTAACTCTGTCCCAACCGGAACCAGGACACCCCGAAACATGCCCCTTAGAGGACCCATATTAGTCTAGCCTTGCTTTTCAAGGATCTCTGTGTTCCTGAAGACTTCCTACCTGCAGTGGCACCAGAATGCAGAGATACCTCTTGCACAAGAGGAGAGCTGAATTTAAACACTGCCGTGAGTCTTCATGGTGCAATCCTACATTAAATTGTTACATTTCTCACCAAAATGCTGCAATTATGCAACTCAGCTGCCAAAGAGTTTTGTTTTTTTTTTTTGGGGGGGGCACAGCAAAAAAGAACCCATTAAACCTTTTGTCACCCTCCAAAACACAAAATTCCAGTGAAGAGGATCCAGGGCACCGGTCTGTTGAGAAACCCAGCTTTCCTCCAGTCTCACCCTGCCTGCGTCAGGGTGACTAAGCTGGCTTTCAGAAAGCAATTTCCTTTTCTTGTGTGTTCCTCACCACACCTGACAAGTCCTTTGGGGTGTTTCCCATGACAAGGAGGGTGCTCTGTGCTTCAAAGAGGCCCCTCGCGTTTCAGGATTGGTTTTGGGACTCTGCAGGTATGTGCTGATGGCTGGGATCTCTCCACAGGACCTGGGGCTCCGGCACACAACTCGGATGCCTCCTTGGCTATTCTCAACAGAGATGTGAGGACCAGACCCCATTGGCTAGGATGGCATTAGAAGAAAAACTGGGCTAAGCTATGCATGTTTTCAACATCTGAGATTTACTCTCAGATTCCAGAAACCACAGCAATGAGGAATTGCAATTATTTTGCACAGGGCAAATGAGAAGAATAAACTTTTCCATCTTATTCCAAGCCAGTATCAAACTAAGAGATCGTCTTTGTATTTCAGGATCACATGTGCTTCTCAGTTTCTTGTCTTAAACAGAGAAGGACAATAGGTGAGAGGGGAAAAAAACCCTTGAAATAGCACACAACCTCCAGCTGCAATGTTACCTACCACCTCCATATAATCCTAGAGAAAGAGAATAGAAATGCCCAAGTCTGCTCATTTCTGGGGTGCTTCTGCCCTGGACCCTTTTGGGTAAAAAACCCAAACCAAATAAGCAGAAGTGTCCTGGCTGGCACCAAACTCTCCTTCCTAACAGTGCAAGCAGCTTCAATGTCAGGAGCAGCCCCTGCCATCTGATGTGTCTTTATTTTTAAGAGCTTTCTCTCCTGAAGTAGGCAGACACAGACTATGAACCTGTCACCTTCAGTTCCAGCTGGGCACCTTCATTTCTGATGCCATTTCAAACCAAGCAGGTGAAATCCTTCATCAGAGGGTCGAACAGCAGAGGGTCTCAAATCTGCACAACACTGGCAGATGCGGCGCCTCAGCAGCTCCGTCCTGCCTTTGCACCCTGGCGTCTGCTCCCCATCCCCATCCTTCCCCTCGCAGTAGTCACGCATAAGTGACAAGCGTGGCATCCAGAGCCAGGCCACCTCCAAGGGCCAAGCACTCATCCCTGGGGAAAGGTAGCAGGGCAGCCCCCCTCTGTCAGTGAGGACCGGGGGGATCAGATCCCAGCACTGCAAACCCAGCTAGGGAATGGGACCGGAGGGGACTAAGAAGAGAAGACAGAAATGTTCAACTAGAAGCAAACCACCAAAGCGGTTGGGGGCAGGTGCATGCAATTTCTTTTCGCAGATGCAAACCGTGAGCTACGAGGAGGAACAGGAGGAGATGTTAGAGAGTGCAGGACTGGACCCAGACCCTAGCAATGAGGCACTGGCCGTTATGGATTCAAGAGGGGTCTGCAGTGAACTCCCTCATTGAGGGAGCCTGTGCCACTTCCTGCAGCATCTCAGCAGGGTTTTGCTCCTTTGTGGTTGTCCAGGGACACAACAGGGCTCTGGCCTCCACGCCGTTATGGATTAATACAAAGAGCTCAATCTCTGACGTGGAAAATATTTGCTTGGGGTGACACGGGGAGAGTTTTGCTCATGTGCTTGCCCTGCCTTTAATGAAGAGGTGATAAACCCTTTCAGTGAAGGGCTTTTGACTCAGTAATTCACTCACCCGCCTTGTCTGCTGGGAGACCAGTGTGTACAGACAAGCGGTCCATGCATCTGGGTGGCAGGGGAAGGAGCAGATTAAGGAGGCCAGGAAATCTGTTTAAATATCTTTAAATCCCTACAAAATGGCTATCAATGACATGCATGCTGATTCATACAAATACTCTCAGCACTGCTGGTATTTAAATACATCCAACCAGCTGCCTGAGCTCAAAATAAATGGCGGGATGGAACAACACACCCAAAAGCAATAATCCTGAGGTTAATCTGGGCTGAGAGCAATCACCCCCTAGGACTGTGAACCACCACATTGGGTGGAAAGTGGAGCACAAGGGGAAACGTTGCTGAAAGATGCAGCTGATCTGAAATGAGCTGCAAGCACCATGGTGGAGAGTCCTACCTGTCTCTGGCTTGTGAACATGGAGCATCGTGAAGTATATAATGAAGCCATAGAAAAATGAAAGAAACTTTATCTTTGTAACTGTATGACCTACAAAGGAGGAAAAGGCAAGGACAGAAAAAACCAAACCACTGTGGGTAATGCAGATGCAGGAGGAACAGGAAAAAGGGGAGCTGGTCTGTAGAAAGGGGCTTGAA